CCCCCCCCCGACAGTAAATGATAAAACCACAGCACAGTGACTGAGGAGCCGGTGAAAGACTGAACTCTCCTCGGTGAATTTAACATCAACAATTTTCTTTTTCCTGTTTTCTGGGCTCGTGTTTAAATGCGCGCGCTCTCTCTGTGTTGTTTGTTGAATTTAAATGCTTTAAATTTATACATATTACACATATATTTACTTTTCGTATGAAATGAAAGCCGGGCACGGAGGGAGGTACTATGGCTCAGGTGGTAGGCCTAGCGCAGGTTTGTCCGGTGGGTCCTGGGTCGACGGTTCGATCCCCGGCTCCCCCGAACTCCCGCTCCTGGTGCGAAACTGTCAAATCAAATGCGCGGATGTTGATACCGAACAACAATATGTCATTTACTTCTGTATTTTATTTAATCATCTAGGAATGAGGTGTGTGTGTGTGTGTGTGTGTGTGTGTGTGTTTTTATGCTAATGTGAAGTCCATATTCGTCCATATGAAGCGGGAGGCGGCGGGGCGCTGTAATCCCTGCATGCTGCCTGTTTATTCAGCAGAGCGGGATTTACATGTGAATAGGGAGCGCTGCTGCGCGCACGCACACGCACACACACCACACACACACACACACACACACACACACACACACACACACACACCTATCTGCTGTGCTGGCTTCACACCACTGGACGTGTTATTTTTACTACTGTTCTGACGGCTTTGAGAAAATATTTTCACACTACAATATTTGCAATGATCCGGTTCGTGGTCCGGTCCAAGTCTATTTTTAGGTTTGGTGTGGCCTATTTTTAGAGCTGCAGGCTGCAGACACTGTAGGAGTCTGTCACAGCGTGTGATGGTCAGTGCTGCAGTTTAAGGAGCCTTATAGTGTGTGTGCAGTCTTAGAACTGAAAGCCTATTCACTAACTGTGTACTGAAGGATAAAGGAGGAAAACAGCCCAAATGAGACTCTATTGGTCTGTAAAAGCAGCTTATGGGACATAGACATTATTGCTACCATTATCTACTGTAATTAAACCCTCAGTTGTAGCGATAATGTGCCCACAATACAATAAAATCATGATTGTTACTGTAATTCTGCGGGTAAATAGGCCTCTCTTGGTTTTCAGACATACTGCTCCCCTCCTGTTTTCACTGTAAAATAAGACATTTCGTGTCTTGTAATTATATTGTTTCCTCTGTGTTTGTGATTTGTTCCCAGGTCTTGGGGAGTCCTGGGGTCATGTGAGTCGCAGCAGTTCTCTGGATGGAGTCAGCCAGGAATTGGGCTCCCATCTATTACAGGTATTGACTGTGTGGTTTTGTGTTATTCACACAAGCAACAGCAAAAAAAAAGCAAAAGAAAAAATTAGCTTTGATGTTTGCAACTGACTGACATGCTACAAGGTTACTTAAAATGTTCATTAGAATGACAGAGAGAATATACATTTTATTTTTATTGTTATTGTTATTGTTATTTTTATCCAGCCTTGGGTAGACTGTGTTTGTGTGGTTTAGTGGCTGCTGCCATCTGCCTCCTGCTGCCTTCATTTTTGTGAAGAGTGAAATGAGCTGAACACATTCCTGGTCACGCACAGAGCCTCAGTCTGTCCTGCAGCCCCTCTCACATCAGCAATAACATGAGGGAGCAGGGCTGCAGGCTGCAGGCTGGACAGACAGGCTGCACAGATACAGGCCACAGAGAATCACAGGTTGGCTAGTACTAGTCACACAAACATCAAGCCTCTTTTACACAGCCACGCAGGAATGTTGTGCCTTTATTCCACCTCGCTGTTCTGTATATAAAAGGTAGCTATGAACACAGAATGGGTGAAGGGTTTTTGTTCCGCCTTTATGCCGGCAGTGGAGGGAGTCACAGAGCCGGATTGAGCCGGCATGGCGGGACAGGACGTCGACATCACGCCTCTGATTCCAGCACGCTGTCTAAAATCATGAGTCGAGTCACAGAGTAGCAGGCAGCAGACTGGGGCTGAACGACATGCAAAAAATTCATATTGTGATTATTTTGGCATATATTATGATACGAGTCACAATTTCATTTGGAAAAGTAATTTCTTTATTTTCAGTGAAAAAAATATAAAAATGATGATGGTGTGGTTTGGTTGCACCAAACAAACCTGCTCCTTTACATCTGCAGAATATGATTTGTAGGCCGGGGCGTCTCTGCAGCAACACAACACTTATGGTGCTAACAATGCACGACAATGTGACACATCTTACCTTCATCAAAAAATTGCAGCTCCTGTGATTTGGATATTGCACCTGGCCACATTGACATTTTGATTATATTTTGATTAATTGCGCTGCTGTAATAGTAGCCTAACATATATTCCTCCACTCAGCTGCCAGTTTATTAGGCTAGGCTACACCAAAGCTAAACTGAAGAAGTCGAATACAACAGCCGGTAATAAATAGTACTTTCATGAGGTTTTTTTGTAATGATGAAAATGGAGTGGAACAAATATTAGCAACACATCTCAGTGCGATGATTTACAATAACCATGAAGCTGAATCAGCACCTCTCTCAGAGTTACATGCCATTTGTATTTGACTGCATTAGTTTACCTGGGAACACATGCCTCATGTCGTTGTTGTATTTTGTTAATTTGTCATGATGTTGTTAGCACAACCAGTCTGTCTGCTGTAATAGTGTCTCTACAGTTTAATGATAGACTCAGACAGTATGGTGGATTAACATTGTCTGTAGAAATCAAGACAATAACATTGATTTTATTGAAGTATTTGCCTTTTGTCAGCGTCTAACCCAACAACACTGTTGTTATTGTTTCTTCCAGACGTTAGACGGCTTCATCTTCGTGGTCGCTTCAGATGGGAAAATCATGTACATATCAGAAACAGCATCAGTCCACTTGGGTCTGTCGCAGGTTGGTTTTGGCGAGCTTGACGTAACGTCCTCTGTGTGTGTGTCGGTGCTGATGTGTCACAGCTCTGAGGTGAATGTTTATTTCTACAGGTAGAATTGACAGGAAACAGCATCTATGAATACATCCATCCAGCAGACCATGATGAAATGACCGCCGTCCTCACAGCACACCAGCCTTACCACTCACACTTTGTTCAAGGTAATCAACAACACAGACACGTTGTACTGTAGATGATATGGACTCGTCAGAAAGCAGAAATAACTGTTTTTTCTTTTTCTCTCTGCAGAGTATGAGATGGAGCGCTCCTTCTTCCTGAGAATGAAATGTGTCCTCGCTAAAAGAAACGCTGGTCTCACCTGTGGAGGCTACAAGGTAGAACACCAACACACCTGTCTTTACTTTATGTTTTTACTTTTTAACTGACGATTCTGAAACATGAATAATGACACATCCTGGTTAACATTCGGTCATATCAATCAAACAAAAAACATCAGTTTAGCAGAATTTTAGCTAATAAGAAAATAAATGTCATGTAAATCTGGTTGTATGTTGCTTTGACACAGACTGTTGGACGAACAAGGTTGAAACTATAGGAGATTAAAATAAATATAATAGTAGCCAAACAATTCAATTCAATTCAAGGTCCAGTTACTTGTTTGTTCCGGAGCTTTTGATTGTGTCACACAGTCTTCAGCAGCTGAGTTCTCACTGAACTGTAGCTGTTTCCATTTCTTTGAGGAGCTCTCTCCCTAATGGCTGAAAGACAGATTGTTCTGTCAGCTATGCAGATATATTGTGTGAGGCCATTTTCATTTTCCATTTTCCAAATTTTGCATTTCCTGTTTGCCAAAAAAAACCAAAAAATTACTTAACACTCCAAAATTTCCAAAATATCCGCTTTAGTCGAAAGAACAGTTCTTCTTTTTCCTAAATTATCACCACAAACGGTCGAATGGTCTCCAGGTACAGTTTATTCCTCGATGCCTGCAGAGTGCACTCTGGGAAGATACGTTAGCATCACAGCGAGGCAGGGAATTCACTGGGTAGACATGCCTGTTAAAAAATGATGTATTGTATGTTTGGTATGTTCCAACCCACACAGAAAGACCCTGAATTTGTTTCCTACCAGACTGAAACTAGGGCTGAAAATTTCTATTGATGAAACATAGAGAAAGGAAGAAAACAACAGAAACACTTAATTTAGTCATCATTTTATTGTGGTAATTTATTAATTATTAATTGCAGCCATTCAGACTGAAATGACCACAATGCAGTGGGGTGTGTTGGTGGGTATATGCTGCTTCAGGTACCGGCTAAACATTCAGTTTGAGACAGTTTTATAATAACAAATATTTTATTTTTCATCATTAGCAGAAATCCTCAGAGCTCTCCTGTGTTGGTCTCATTAAAATGATTGAGAAAGCTGCATTTTTTCACAGTGGTAAAGTTTGTCAGTTTGAAGCCTCAGCTCGAGTTCAGCTGTCCTGCTGAAATGTGATCATTCAGAAAACAAACTGTCCGAAGGTCCGAGTGACACAATCCACCAGACGTCACAGATATCAAGCTCCTCTGGATGTGGTTGCTGAGCTCCCTCTGATCCCATGTTGAACAGGACTAAAGGGCTACAGGAACATGTGTGGTATGATGTTTACGCCTCACGTGTCTGTCTGTGAACTCTCGGCCCAGGTGATCCACTGTAGTGGCTACCTGAAGATCCGTCAGTACAGCCTGGACATGTCCCCGTTTGACGGCTGCTACCAGAACGTCGGGCTGGTGGCAGTTGGTCACTCGCTGCCGCCCAGCGCCGTCACCGAGATCAAACTGCACAGCAATATGTTCATGTTCAGAGCCAGCCTGGACATGAAGCTCATCTTCCTGGACTCACGGTACGTCCTCCACCACACAGTGTTCTGTGTTCCACTGCACACCATAGTTTGTATTTGATATTTAAGTGCGTATGTGTAAATAATGGACTTAATAACCCCTGAGAATGTGTGTGTGTGTGTGTGTGTGTGTGTGTGTGTCTTGCTCAGGGTTGCAGAGCTGACAGGCTACGAGCCTCAGGATCTAATAGAGAAGACGCTCTATAATCACGTCCACAGCTGTGACTCCTTCCACCTGCGTTGTGCTCATCACTTGTGTGAGTTAGGTTTGTTTTACCTTCTTACAAATTCTCTCCACACACACACACACACACACACACACACACACACACACACACACACACACACACACGAACACACACACACACACACACACACGTACACATACACATGCACACACACAGTGCAGATACAGTACATACTATCTTATATTGTGATTTTCATGTTGTGTTATTCCATTAATGTGTTAATTTTAATAATGGTAAAGCAGCTGGTGTATAATGTTAATTCACAAAAGAATGAGATGAAAAAAATACACCCAGCTTCCAATATTAGCTCCTATAATTCGATACACTGTAGTTTGTTTGGATTGTTTCCCCACAGTGATCACCTGCTGTTGTTTCTTCCTCCTCTCGTTGTTGCAGTGCTGGTGAAAGGTCAGGTGACCACGAAGTATTACCGTTTCTTGGCCAAGCATGGCGGCTGGGTCTGGGTTCAGAGTTATGCAACCATCGTACACAACAGCCGCTCGTCCCGACCTCACTGCATCGTCAGTGTCAACTACGTCCTCACGTGAGTGTCCCGAACGCTGCTGTATTTACCTTGATGACATCAGTCTACTGGTGTTATGTCGATGTTAGTGGTGAGTGGCCACTGCTGTGGTGTTACTGCGCCCAGAGTCTCCCAGAGATCACATGCTGATTAGGCAGTGTGGTCAGGACTGTGACTTCCTGTAAGGTGCTTCACGTGTCAACCATGGCAACTACTGCTGCTCTCACTGCCACAGTGTGACAAAAATATCGGTATCCGTTGATAATTTGTCAGACACAAGCATGTAGCTTAGTTGATTTTAGTGAAGCTGTGTACTGATGCATTCATGTAGGACTGGGCTATACATAGAATTAATTGGATTCATTCAATTTTCTGTTTTGGATATTTAGAACAACATCATTAAAATCTGTTTTCTTGTAGATGATAGCAGGGCACATTAGCTGACATGAGTCACAACAGCCTATAAACAGTGACGGTGACTGTACTGTATTCACACACTCTGCAGATTGTGAGACTGCACATGTCTTGAATTTGCATGAATGCATGAATTTCACATCTACAAGAGGTACAGAATGAAAAAATACTCTGCACACTGATCTGACCTGAGTTTGTTGGGCATTATCTCAGAGTTGAAGTCACAGGAGTCGACTGATGATGTGGATTCTACTTTGTTCAGTCTGTCCGCACTTGCTAGGTGGCTAACGGTAGTTAGCATCTATCTGCAGACATGAGGCTGAGGTCTTGTCAGGAAACACTCTGCTTTGTCTCTTCTGAATCTTATAATTAAAGTCGTCTGTTCTCCATTTAGTTGAACCATCTGCTGGTGACAGTCCATAGGTGTGTGTGATCACCTGTGTTTCTTACAGGTGGTGCACATCTTTTCTTATTAATGCTAAGCTATCTTGCACTTCTTGCAAGTCCTAAGAAATATGTGTCAGTCATATCCCTGCATTTTTCAGGGAGAAAACTGATTCAAGTTGTGAATTGGCCCCAAGCTTGAAAAAGATCGAGATACTATTTCACTCATTCCGTTCCTGCCCCCAAACTATTAAACACAGTGAACAACACTGCTGAACTTGGTGAAATGTTCCTTCTTTAGCATAAACACACACACTGTAGTTTACTTTGACTCATCAGAGAACCAAATGTGTATTAATCCACCACTGAAAGTAGTCCCCAACACATCCACTATATTCCCCTCTTCCTCCAATCAAAATATGTATATTTTCAGTTTAACCCCTTCTTCTTGTCATGAAGCACCACACACAGATGAGGGAGCCTGATTAATGGTTATAACAGATAATGTTTTGATGACAGTAAGAAAATGGAGGCAGAACATCAGCAGCAGCTGATGTGGATATCTACTCCATCAGATGTCTGAAAAGATTTGCAGTGTAGACAGAGCCTGAAGTGGTTCAGGGAAGTGATGGAGGATTACTGATGGAACATTCAGTACCGATCATTCATGATTCACTCTGACCTAACAGTGGCTTGAGGACACAGTCATGTAAACCTTGAGTCTTTTTAATCCAAGCAAATATGAAACCACTGATGTATATTCATTATTGATACAAAACATGTATTTATATTGCTTAGGACTGTATAGACAGTAGCAGTGTATGTGGATGGGAGGACCCCGGCAGGTGTCAGTCAGGTGAGTCTGGTGTGATATGATTGAAGTGTCTGGCAGCTCCGGGGCAGGGAGGGGCGGCTCAGATCTCTGTTGTGCTGTCACTCTCTGCTTTGATAAGATAATGAGTATTGATACTAGAGATTTACGCAAACAGTTCCCGTGAAGCAATTAACTGGAGGTTAATTGGAAATATGACATGTGTTTGTTGAAGCCTGGTTTTCAGAATCTGGCAATAAAGAAACTTTGTCAAGTCATATTGTGTTTTCTTTAGTCTTCACTGTTGAAGGCCGAGTTAGAAACAAAGGAAGTGATTGTGATTGTGATTTCTTTTAGGGAAACCACAGCTGCCTTTGATGGTGGCAGACATTCCTGCTCTATCACTGTGTCTTCTCTATTGTGTGTCAGTTATGTCAGAATGTCTGAGCCCTTTGTTATTGAGTTTGCTAAGAGTGCTCATGTGCTGGTTGTTACCTGGCCTCATGTGGTGGACGTTATCTCAGACTGTAGAGACAGAAGCTGGAGTCTCACTAACAGTCTGACAGCACTGTGTTGCCACTCCTTATTACAAGCTGCTATTTTTCACCTCCTTCCAATAAAATCAAACTGTAATCATGGCAGAGCCTCTACCTGCATGAGCTGCACTCTTATTAGTGAGTGAGGGCTTCCATTTACTCGCCTATTATCCCATTATTTTATTACCCCTGATGTGCGTATTTCACAGATGTACAAGTGAGGGAATACAGCCTATAAAAGCTTCCATTAAGCAGCGCGGCTGGCTGCATTCAAAGGCAGAGAACAGCTTGACACACATTCCCTCTACCTCCTACATCAAATCCATAACAGGTTTGTGTTTATGGCCTTTTAATTGATAGGCTGTAAACTTGATGAGTGTTTATGGGCTCCAGCTTGCTGTCAGGGGAACACAGCCTTATTTCCCTCCTCCCGTTCCCCTTGTTCTGCTTTTGTAAATCTTTTTGAGATGCTGTGTGGACTGAGCCAGACTAGTAGAGGAACTAAACTAACCTCCACCCGAGGTAGAACAAAGCACAATTGTTTTTTTCATATCTTTGATATGTCTGTTTTATAAAATGGATGGTTGTATTGCAACATTTTTCTACAAAAGTAGTTTATTTGGATGATATTTGGAAAACTGAAAATAATCAAAATTTTGGATTCTACAAAAGGGGGCGCTCTGCAATTTCACATCAGAATAATGGTCAGATACTCACCATGTTTGGACTGTATGTCCACAGGCAGTCACTATTTTAAAAATACATACCCTTAAATATACATTGAATATACACCGCGTTCCAAATTATTATGAAAATTGGATTTAAGTGTCATAAACATTTAATTTTTTGTTTTTCAATTAGACTCATGGATGGTATTGTGTCTCAGGGCTCTTTGGATCATTGAAATCAATCTCAGACACCTGTGATAATTAGTTTGCCAGGTGAGCCCAATCAAAGGAAAACTACTTAAGAAGGACGTTCCACATTATTAAGCAGGCCACAGGTTTCAAGCAATATGGGAAAGAAAAAGGATCTCTGCTGCCGAAAAGCGTCCAATAGTGCAATACCTTGGACAAGGTATGAAAACATTAGATATATCACGAAAACTTAAGCGTGATCATCGTACTGTAAAGAGATTTGTGGCTGATTCAGAGCACAGACGGGTTCGTGCAGATAAAGGCATAATGAGGAAGGTGTCTGCCAGACAAATTCTAAAATGCCATTACAAAGCAGCAAACAGGTATTTGAAGCCACTGGTGCCTCTGGAGTCCCACGAACCTCAAGGTGTAGGATCCTCCAGAGATTTGCAGTTGTGCATAAACCTGCTATTCGGCCACCCCTAAACAACGCTCACAAGAAGAAACGGTTGCAGTGGGCTCAGAAATACATGAAGACTAATTTTCACACAGTCGTGTTTACTGATGAGTGCCGTGCAACCCTGGATGGTCCAGATGGATGGAGTAGTGGATGGTTGATGGATGGCCACCATGTCCCAACAAAGCTGCGACGTCAGCAAGGAGGTGGCGGAGTCATGTTTTGGGCTGGAATCATTGGGAGAGAGCTGGTAGGCCCCTTTAGGGTCCCTGAAGGTGTGAAAATGACCTCGGCAAAGTATGTAGAGTTTCTGACTGACCACTTTCTTCCGTGGTACAAAAAGAAGAACCGTGCCTTCCGTAGCAAAATCATCTTCATGCATGACAATGCACCATCTCATGCTGCAAAGAATACCTCATTGGCTGCTATGGGCATAAAAGGAGAGAAACTCATGGTGTGGCCCCCATCTTCCCTTGACCTCAACCCTATTGAGAACCTTTGGAGCATCCTCAAGCAAAAGATCTATGAGGGTGGGAGGCAGTTCACATCAAAACAGCAGCTCTGGGAGGCTATTCTGACATCCTGCAAAGAAATTCAAGCAGAAACTCTCCAAAAACTCACAAGTTCAATGGATGCAAGAATTGTGAAGGTGATATCAAAAAAGGGGTCCTATGCTAACATGTAACTTGGCCTGTTAAGATGTTTTTGATTTAAATAGCTTTTGATTTCAGTAAATATGACCTCCTAATGCTGCAAATTCAACAAATTACCATTTATGGTTCTTTACAACCTATAAAATGTTTTGAAACTCTCTTGTGCATAATAATTTGGAACAGTGCATTTTGACTTTTTTATTTTTGAAAAAAATACTGTTATCATTGATGACTTGAAAATTATACTGACTGTCATTTGCATCAACTATTCAGGAAAATCTGAGAAAAATAACGTTTGCATAATAATTTGGAATGTGCTGTATGTATGTATGTGTGTGTGTGTATATATATATATATATATATATATATATATATACTATATATAATATATTATATATATATATATTATTATATATAAGCATGTAATTTTGAAAATAAGTTTAACAATCAATGTAATTTACAATTTCAAGAAACTGTTATCTTCAAATAGAAACAAGTTGTTTGACTATTCAGTTGACCCTCTGGTGTCACCAGCCCCTGATAAACACCCCATGCCACCAGACCAGAAAAATACAATGTGGCGCCACAAGCGAAGGATACCAAACATATCGTAACTAAAAAAACTAAATATACACGGTGGTGGTGGAAGTGCAGCCGTGTGCTTCTTTTTTTCTGCATAATAAATGGGACAAAAGACAGACAGAGGGAGGCAGGAGGCAGACTGTTGTTTAGTGTTGTTATCAGGAGCAGGAGGTGGTGGATAAGACAGGTGATAAGGGCACTTCACCTGCATGTGAACTCCCACTGTGTGTTCGGCTCTGATAACCCTTGTCCCTCCTGTCCCGGCTCTGTGGACCTGCCACTGCCCACCACCACCACCCGACAGTGATTTAGCAACTCTTCGGGTGAAGGCACGTCTGCTGCAAAAGCATGTGACCACATGTGTTGTGTTTGTCTGACTCTCACAACAGTTCTCCTGTTTAATCAGTGCTGTTGCTATTCTAGCTCAGAGTAAACTCATCAGTCTGCTGTGTGGAGCACGCTCTCCATCCCTCTCTGTTTAAGTGAACACAACACTTTCATACATCTACACTTTGACACGTTTAGTAAGCTTAGTAATGTATGTATACACCGGCAGAACAAAGATAGAACAGGGCTCCACTTATTGCCTTTATATGAAAAGGCCTTTGGAGACCTAGTTCAAACCTGTGAGGAGAGAAGAAATCTGACGAGTTGTCAGATAATTAACACAATAAAAAGAACTGTTAGGGCTCAACATCAGAATTGTATATTTTTTAGATTATTTTATAGACATTTAGGCCTTTACTTAGAGTGAGATAGTGAGAGAGAGAGAGTATGACATGAAACAAAGGTCCCCTGGCTGGGTATCGGAGCGAGAACATCACGGCCACGAGGCCATTAGACCCAACAACAGTCCATTTACAGACAGACTTCTCGGTGTCTGATGTGTGTGTGTGTTCACCAGGTGTCTGAAATCAATGAATGTATCGACCCAAGTGTATGTATAGTCCACCAACTGCCTCTTTTATGTTCGCACAATAGACCAGAGCTGAAACAGTTGGTGGTAGAGAGTCGGAGATGACTGTGTTCAGCGGAGATCTGGTGACTGTGAAGGCAACAGCTGATCATTCACATCAATGACATTCTCATCAAACATCAGTGAGCGTCCTGTGACTCTGCATTAGCTGTTTTTACACCCAGTTCATGCTAAGGTCATGATGTTATAAAATCTGTGAAAAATGATCCACTGATATCAACCTAACAACCGAGGCTAAATATGTCGATTTCTGGGCTGAAGCAGTAATTGAATGTGATATATTCAGACTCTCTCCAAATGTAACTGATATAGATCCTATGAAATATGTCTGCAAGTAAGAATTAGTGTTTTTGTTTGAGGGAGGGGAGGTGTGTGCAGAAAACAGATCACTGTTTGTCTAAAGTGAACCCTGTCCAGGTTTTCTGTTGTCTCAAACCTGATTCATCATCCATTGCCAGATCTGTAGATCACTTTAGTGAGAAATCAATTCCAATTTCCCAGTAGTGAGACGTCCAAGCTTCTCCTATGGGCCTGATTTACCAGACATAGCCTTTAATCTCCCAGTGTATTTGATTGGACAGCTTTCCCTCTGTAGAGTGTTTGTTGAAGGCCTTGCTGCAATCCTTCTGGTGAAACAAGCGTCCCAACAGCCGTTCCAGCCCCCTCAGCCCCCCCACCCTTCACACACACACACACACACACACACACACACACAGTAACACACACAGCAAAATACAAAGACACATTTCTGTGCATGTTGGTCTTCTCAGCGCCATGATGAGGCTCTAATTCCTAAACAGATGTTAATGGGTTTTTGCACCTAGAGATAAAACAAACAGGCAGGTACTCGAGCTGTTTGTGTTCTTTAATAAACAGGATCTCTCCTCATGTAATTGTGGAACATATTAAATCTATGACATGCAAATGCAAGACATCAACAAGATTGCTGTGAATGCACCACATGCAATTTCTGCTTGTGTCCACAGGGAGACGGAGTATAAAGGCCTGCAGCTCTCTCTGGACCAGGCCACGTCCAAGGCTTCTTTCCCCTACAGCAGCAGCAGCACGGCCAGCAGCGTCATGGATAGCTGCAGGACTCCCAAGAGCAAAGTGTCCCGCCTCAAGACCAAAGCCAGATTGTCGCCATACACACAGGTGAGGAGTCAGTCAATTCACACACATGATGTGATGCTGGTGTAAAGACACAGTACAGTGTTTCAGCATCTGATCAGCAGATCTCCTAGGGGTAAACTGTGATGGATGTTTACGCCAAGCTTCAACCTCTGAGGCTGAAACATGAAGTCAACGCTGAAGAACCAAAACCTGCAGTTCCTCTAATGACCACTAGAGTCTGGCTCCAACAGTGAGTCAATCCCCATAGACTCCCATGTTAAAATGTCCAACTTTACAGCAGAAATAAACATGTTTACAGCCTGGTACAAAAACTGTTTTGGTCTCTAGAGCTAATTTCCTCCTTCATGACACCTGTTTATATAACTCACCTGTTTACATTTTATTAAGGACTAAAGTTATGGAGAATTGAGGGGGCGTGGCCTCTTTGAGTGACAGGTGGGTGAGCGTATGCTTGACACAAACTGACATGCCCCTCCTCTTTGACCATTTCGGATTAGCTGGGAGTTAGGGGCGGAGTCAGACAGTGGAGTTCCGAGCCTCAGAAACCTGTGGGTGACGTCACAGAGGCGACGTCCATCTTTATTTACAGTCTATGATTTACACCAGACAGTCATTTCTTTTCCAGATAGGCGTGGCTAATGTTGGCTTCTGTTTACAGCCTGTGTGACTGTTGTAGACGCCTTGGTGAAAATGTTGTATTCACAGATCTTAACAGTTAGACCTGTAATTTCAAGTGACACCACCGCCAAATGTGTCATAGCCTGTTTCTGTTCAGGCTTTTCTTTATGGGATGACTAGCTCTTCATAGAAAAACGTATCAGCATTAACACAACACAAATACTATGATCATTTATTTAAGTATTATTGTTACGACAAACAATTCATGACAAAAAAATGGAACAGAAGTGCTCAAATTTTTAAGGAGCTTGTTTTGTAGCTTGTGGCTGCAGTGTCTGAAACAGCTGCTTCTTTTTCTTCTACCTATAATGTCCAAGTCAAGCATCCAGAAATATAATCATGGAGGATCTCAAATGTGGCTCTCACCTTATTTAAACTTTCTCTCCAGACATGTTTTAAACTGTATAAAAATCCTCTGCTATGAGTCATATTTAATTTAATATGGGTTCGTCCACTCTTACTTCCTGATTGAGAAATCTGGATCAGGCCTTGAGCCCTGCCCTCCACCTGCCTGCTCCAGGTGGACAGGTGAAGGAGCAGAGAGTATCAAGATGGTTAGAGAGACTCAGAGAGACAGAGACTAGCAGACGGATCAGAGCGGTTAGCGTAGTTAGCATCTTTTATTTGTATATGTTGTTTGTTAGCTTGTAACTGGCAGTGGCTGACACATTGTTAGCAGTTGCGCTAATGCTAACTCTCTCTGTACTGACAAGGATTTCAGGTTTATTTAGCCCCGCCCCACATCCACACAGGTTGACAGGATTGGTTCCTGAGGTTTGTGATGTATGAAACCCTGGCTGTCTGAATCTGTTTTTATGAGACTGTGATTGGTTCACTGCAGTTCAAGGTGGAAACACTCGCAAATGATGTTGATGATTATTTCACTCATCAAATGTCTGTATTATATAAAAAACATCATATGGACGTTAACAAGGTTAAACACTGGATTTTCATCAGAGGGTCTTTAAAGGTTTTTATATTTTCTCTTTTCTTGTCCCCTCACCACATCTCTATCTGCAGTATCCCAGTTTCCAGACAGAACGGTCAGAGTCAGACCAGGACAGTCCGTGGGGCAGCAGCCCCCTCACTGACTCCGCCTCCCCTCAGCTACTGGAGCACAGTGAAGGCCTGGACGCCTCATGTGTGTACAGGCAGTTCACTGATCCTCGCACACCCTGCTACAGCCCGTCTGAGGAGCAGCACCACACACACCTCCACACACACGGCCAAGGTCAGCGTTGCGAGCGGAGTCGATGTGAGGCGGGACGATATTTTCTAGGAGCACCTCCGCCCAGTGGCAACGTGTTCTGGGGCACCACCCGCTCCATCATACCGCTGAGCAAGAGTTCCCTGGAGAACCATGATGGATATCACAGCAGCATGCCGCACATCACAGCCATACACAACTACAACGGTGAGGACTAAGACCTGGATCAGTCCACTGTAGAGACTGAACCTGCTGACAGTGTCAGAGTGTAGTGTTGTCTCAGTCATAACACAGGACACACTTCATGTACGTATTATATGTTGCTGTTGTGCCATGTATGTAGCATCAGGCTTGTTTTCATTAGTTGCAGGATTAACATTAGGAACATGAAGAATGTCATTACTTCCTGTTAATGTTCCCCCCGCACTGACTGCTCTAACTGTGTCACCCTGCAGGACAGGCCCACTGGGACGAGGACAGTGTGGTCAGCTCTCCAGACGCCGGCTCAGCCAGTGACTCAGGGGATCGATACCGAGCTGATCAGTACCGCTGCAGCCTGCAGGAACCCAGCAAGATCGAGACGCTGATCCGAGCCACGCAGCAGATGATCAAGGAGGAAGAAAGTCGACTGCAGCTGCGCAAGGCCCCCCCAGACTCCCCACTGGGACCAGCCAATGGACTGCCCAAGGGCCCCGGTTCATGCTTCACTCCTGAGTATACTCAGGGGCCCCTGCCACTACAGTCAGTGGTGTGCAGAGGGTTGAGTCAGGTGATCAGCCCTGCAAATAGCCCTGCCCCCTTATCCAGGCTGAGCAGTCCAGGGTCTGAGCGCCTCAACAAGCCCAAAGACTACCTCCAGACAGACATGTCCCCCCTTTCTCTGCCATTACACAACTCGCTTGGTCGGTCGGGCTCATGCTCGGCTTCTCCCTCCCTGGCCCCGGCCCTCTACCCCTCCCACACCCACCCAAGACCCTATTTGGACAAGCATACAGCATACTCCCTGACAGGCTACGCTCTGGAGCACCTCTATGACCCGGAGAGCCTCCGGGGCTACTGCACCTCCACCAGCTCTGGCCCCACCCACTACGACGTGACCCCACACCTCCGCATCCCAGCAGAGCAGACCCCCGGACACAAAGGCACCTCTGTCATCATTACCAACGGCAGCTAACGCTCATCATGCAGTGGGACTGCAGCAACACAGAGCTGGTTAGTGCTGTTCTAACACTGCGCCTGTTCTTCTTCCATTACACTGATCAACTCTGATCAACACTGATCAATATTGATCAACACTGATCAACACTGATCAACACTGATCAACACTGATCAAAATTGATCAATACTGATCAACACTGATCAATATTGATCAATACTGATCAACCCTGATCATCACTGATCTGATAAACACTGATCAATACTGATCAATACTGATCAACACTGATCAACACTGATCAATACTGATCAATACTGATCAACACTGATCAACACTGATCAACACTGATCTGATCAATACTGATCAACGCTGATCAACGCTGATCTGATCAATAAGAATCAACACTGATCAACACTGATCAATACTGATCAACACTGATCAACACTGATCTGATCAATAAGAATAAACGCTGATCAATACTGATCAATACTGATCAACACTGATCTGATCAATAAGAATCAACGCTGATCAACACTGATCTGATCAATAAGAATCAACACTGATCAACACTGATCAATACTGATCAACACTGATCAACACTGATCAACACTGATCAACACTGATCTGATCAATAAGAGTCAACGCTGATCAACACTGATCAACACTGATCTGACCAATACTGATTAACACTGATCAACGCTGATCAACACTGATCGATACTGATCAACACTGATCAACACTGATCTGATCAATAAGAATCACCGCTGATCAACACTGATCAATACTGATCAACACTGATCAACGCTGATCAACACTGGTCAATACTGATGTGATCAACACTGAAATGTTGCTCAAACTTGAGTTTTGAATCTTTGCAGCAGACTGCAGGAAACACGTTGATCTTCTCTGAATGGGTGCTATGTGAATATTCTCAAGAGGGAGTAACACTCAGAATTTTAATTGAAAGATTTACTCATTACAAAAACAGAATAATTATAGCAGCGCCTCTAATTCTGGTAGATAATGTTTCATTGCAGCTTCTTGAGGACTGACTTTATGATTACTTTGATGAATTTATTTTTCCTCAGTTATGAATTGGGAACAAACTATAGATTCATTTTCTACCAGGTGAGCGCCAGTCTGAAAGATCGTCAGACCTGATCTGAATAGAGCCAAAGAAAATAAATGATGTGATGTCAGTAATAAGAATGTACATGTGACCACTGTCAGACAGTGTGTTAGTGCAGAAATCTTTTGAATTGTTGATATTTCCAGCACTTTAGCAGAAGAGTGTTCGGGTGGAGCGGTGCTCATCATGCAGCAGCTGTTAGACAAATGTACAGTATCTTTCTGTCCATGTCTCATTATTGACTGAGAGTCAACAGGTTTGATTTTTAAAGGAGGGAATGTGAGACATACTCTCACTAACAGTATTTTGGTCAGTATTGATCAGTGTGATGGAAAAAGAATGGAAACAGGACTGAGTAGAAAATGGTTGGAATCTTGCTTTAACATCTGTCCCTGTCTCCAGGTCCAGCTGTTCCATTACCTTCAGTTTGATGAGCTCTGTAACTTTTTGCACTATAAGAGATGGAGTTCTTGTGAAGAGATCTCCTTCTTTTTCAATGCATTTGGATGAGGAGAAACGACAGGGTGGGTGGTTGTGGTGCACTTTTGCAGTGATGCAGATGAAAGAGCACGAGTTGACCCTGAAGTGAGAAGTATGTCATTTGAAACTTCACAGACTAATATGCAAAGCCATTCTCCAGATGTTTCTCCTCTCTCTCTTTTGTAATATTTCAGGAAAATAAATACAGACACATGAATCATGTCCATGATGAATATGATTGTACAAATGAGAACAGTGGATACTGAACGCACTGTTGGACATATTTTAATGGGTGAAACAGGAAGTCTGCTGCTTCACTACATGTTGAATACTCCTGGTGGAGACCAATCATGACACGTGATGTATATTCTCCAGCACTCTGAACCATAAACTCAAGTATCATTCAAAGAAATGACAGGAGATATGGGAAATATTGATGTCTGTGGTAATCATTTCTGAGTGACTATAGCAAGACTGACACTTGTGACCATATGCAATTTGACCTGTTGAATGCTGGGTAAGGCAGCTTAATTGCATTCATTATGACAGATCCCTGAAGCAACTGTTAATTATTGTTCTGTGGGCATGTTTGTACAACAGGATTTAAGTTTTCTCTTGGATTTTCTCTTTATGTCTCTTCAGTCCTTAGATGAACCTATATTTATACAAGTTTTGAATTTTTTTTTTTCTGTTTTGTCAATGCCTGAAATGTGCTCCATCTCTTTTATTTATGGTGTACTGTAAATATGCTCCGAAAAGAAAATGATGCCACTACATTTAAGCACATGGGCAAAACTGTATTTATTGAGTAAATGTTTATTTGTGATTTTGAAATAAAGCTTCAATCAAATCTAAACTGCTTGTTTATTGATTGTGTTTTTGACCGAAGAAAATTCTCAAATGAGATTAAATAAAATAATTTTGCAGAGATGATTTCATTTGTTTGTTTTTTTTTTTGTTATGTCTAAAGTTTTTAATAGAATGTTCAAACAATAAAATCACATTTATAACGAGCAAGAGATCCAACAAATCCTCTACATAATCTGAATTCACAGATGAAGACATACTTCACTTGCGGAAAATTCACATGTAGGCACATTAGGTTTATGATGTGAAAAAGCATTTCAGATGTGATGAAGTCACATGTAATTTTTGGATATTTTACAAATTAAAACTCATACTTATTTTCATTTTAATGTTAAACATAGTCAAAAAATAATATTTAATGTCACATGCTTTGATGTAACAGACGTGATTTTATCATGTGAAACACATTTAACATTAACTGCATGAACATGTGATGTTTAATGTGACAAATTCAAATAATATATGACCATGTGATTTCAGGTATTTCAGAGGACACATGAAAACATCAGTTTCAAAAAGGTGAGGCACCACTTCACATGTGGTAAAGTGACATATAGACACTTGTTTATCACATGAAACAACATGAAACAAATTCTGTGTCTTGATTTTACATGTGTAAAATGAATTTTACATGTGAAAAAGCATAGCAGCAACATTTAGTCTTCAAATGTTAAAATATATACTGTTAAATGTAAAATTACACATGTAAATTTACCATGTTATTTTTACCACATGTGGACCCACATTTCAAACATAATGAGTTACATATGTAAAATGTTTTCACATTATTATTTCATGTTTTTACATATAAACATATAAACAGGTGTACAGTTTATATACATATAACTATATGTGTGTGTATATATATATTTACACACACACACACACACACACACACACACACACACACACACACACACACACACACACACACACACACACACACAGTGTGTGTATAAACAACTGTTTCATATTTAAAAACATACAAAAACATATGAAACAGTATATACATAAATGATACCTCCATCACAGCAGTCTGGTTATGATTCAGTCAGATTATATTTATTTTTGTTCTGGCTGAAAACAATAGAATCTTCATAGATTATGTGTGGCTGCACTGACAAATAAAGAACACTGATGCCTGTAGATGTGTTGGTGTATGGAGAGTCTTCCAGGCCTCTGCCTCGCCTATTACATCCACATTAAAAGCCTTTCATCCTGCTGGTTATTCCTCACTTTAGCTCTTCTTTTAGCAGCTTCCGTCATCTCTAGCAGCTCTTTCACTCACTGTGACCAAGGCTGATGTAACTCTGCCCATTAGGTACAAGTGCGTTGCTAAGAAACCAGCAAGGCAGCAAGAAGCAGTGTCAACAGCAATCCAGGCTGGGAAGGGCTCTGGGGTTAGGCCAGTATAATGTGGTGCAGACATTAGCCTTGTATCACGAAAAACAAGATCTTACTCTCAGTGTCATTCATCTAACATTTTGCATTTGATGCAATGTGACTGATTATAAGAAAAAATTAAGAAGTCTTGTTATCAAATTACACCCCATACTGTTTTTATTTATGTGTTTGTGAATGACTGCTGAGTTTCAGTGTTGAGGTAATGCACTGCACTGGGGCCCAGTAGCTGTCAGGGGCCCAACACACTTAGGATTTTGAGTCATAGTCTTTTATATTTTATTGCCCTTATTGAGCAAGTTGTCCAGGGTTGAGGGTTCAATTCCTGCCCGTTCCTGTGTGCATGTGTACATGTACAAGTGTTCTAGGGGTTAGCTACTGAACCGCGAATTGCTCCCAATGGTCAGGCCAGTGCACTGCAGGGTAGTTCCACTGTTACTGGTGTGTGAGGGTGCGTGTGAATGAGAAACACCTTTCACGCCACTGACATAGAGAAAGATGAAGAAGCAGAGACACAAGCAGGCTGTTTGTCTGGATGTCTGAACTGTTTTCAGAGCTGTAAAGAGGCTGGATGATGCTGTGCAGCTCAGTCTCTCAGTCACTGATGCTGTCTAGCTTCAAGAATTCCTGCTTCTGTTGTTGACACACCTTCTGTAAAGAAAGAAAAGTCTTAGTGTATTGAGAGCAGTGTGCTCAGTGACCTCCTGTTCCTCACTAACTCAGACCTCTCCAGGTTTTGACCAATGATGGTCCCAGTAGACTACAGCTCAGTAGACGACACTCACTCCTCCACTGGTAGAAGATCTCCAGCATCCTAAGATCTGAGCTTCCTCAGTGTAATGACAGACTGCCATTACCGCACGCAATACTAAATATCACTATCATTAGTATTTCGATACGTGAGCATACATGTAATTGAAGTGCATATTGTCAGGTATTAAATCAGGTGTGATTTTTGAAATGTATTCATTGATTGGTAGATATTTGTAGTTGTGTGGGTCAGGTGTTGCAGGGAGGGTGCTGTGCTGCTGCACATGAGTTGTGATTTAATAGTATTTGTTAATGGAAATTAAGAATCGCATGCTATGTTCACCGCACAGTGAACAGTGGAATTGTATGTAAACTTACCTCTGCCTGTCTG